TCGTATTATCGCAAAGTCGCCAGTAAGTTAAGCGAGATACGAAAACATTTTTTAATGGTCCTGTTTCTACAAACATCACAATTATCAGATTTCAGGGGGAAAAAATAGATATTTATATTAGTATAAAAATACGATTATATAAAAAGAAAAAAAGCTTTGATTTTGGTTTAAAAAAAAAACATTTGGTTTAAAATTAAAAATAATAAAAGAAAAAAGAATTAAATGGATTTAAAAAAACCAAATGCTTTTTAAATCCATTTAATTCTTTATTTTTTTATTATTTTCTATTTTACTTAATTAAAATGATAACACATACAATAATATCGTTTTGATGTTATATAGTTTATTTATAGTGATTTTTACTGAAACATTTTTCTATATAATCATAAACAATGAAAAATATCGCAAAAATTGAAATATCACCGTACATTCAGATGTCGAATGGGAAAAATAATAATGGATAATTTAAGAATATCCGCTAGATATGTACGCTGTATGGGCTGCGCTGCGTCGCATCGCTTCTCTCGCGGAAAATTCTCTCCGAACAGCTCTCGCTCAGCAAATCTCGCACGAGATCGAATTGCTAATTCGCTTCGCGTTTTCTTGATTACGATACAGGCTCAGGGGAGCGGAAGGAAATGAAGAAAGAAAAAAATTTTCTCATCGCTCGCTCTGCGCCATGGCATGCCCACCTCCGTGCGGCGGGATGGATGGATGAATCGTTATCGAGTCGCACCCCCGTTTTACAAACGGGGCAGGCCTCACCCCGCCCGCAAAATCTCTCAACCGAACGTGCATATTTCCATTTGACACGCCTCGCCGAACACCTGATTTTATTAAAAACTCCCGTAACCCGATTTTTTCCGCACGTTCCCATGAGGAGTGTAAAATGTTTCTTTCGTACTCGCGAATCACTTTTCCACAAAGTGAACGTGAGCATTTTCGATACTCTGGAGATACAAACCGAACCGTAAGAAAATGATTTTTCTCAATGCCTAAAGGACTTAACCTTAAGGATTCTTATACTAAAGTTAAGAATTCTTATCCTAAAGTTAAGGACTCTTATACTCTCAACAAGTGTTAAATTAATGAAATAGGAATTTAAAAAAAAGAAGAGTGCTAAAATTCATGAAATTGTGTTTTTCAAGATGAAAAGCAAAAATCTGCTACCACAGTGAAAACTTTGCTAATTACGTTGCTTGCTTCACGGTTTGTTACGTACCGGTGCATTTGGCCCCTCGTTTCAAAATTCAATCCGCGATGTCTTGACGTACGAGTATTCTCGAGATGCCGAAAATCTGGAATGTACAGCAGGAAGAGGCGGAAGGAAAGGCGACATACGAATAAGACGGGCCGTGCGACAAAAGAGGGAGCGAGAAAGTCGGCATGGTAAACGAGGTCGAGTGTTGGCAGCGTATAATTTCGATGACAAGCAAAGGGGTGGTTATCTCTCGTTGCTTCTCACCCTCTCGCCACGGACTGCGAGTGGTGAGCCACCCCCACGTGATTGTATTAATTCAAGCCGCCCCTCCATCCCGGCTTCCCATTTACACCTCACTCTCCCTTCTGTTCTGCCTCTTCCTCGCATCTCGTTCTGTCCCTCCCGTCCCGCTGTCGACGTCACCCCTCCAGAAGCACAACTTCCGGGGACAAACGAAGCGTGTCGGCGTCGCGTATAATGAAGCGCGCTCGTTCGTTTCCTCAGCAGCGCCGTTTTCTTGTTGTACGTTTTCGTGTCCCGCGCAAAGATGCCCGTCTCGACGCCTAAATCCAAAGTCGTAGTCAACAATCCCGTAAATCCGCAAATCACAGATAACCGATAATAATTGTGCGAAAAGTTAAGAATTAAGAATCTGAAGAAATTAAGAAAAATGTTGCAATTTGTGTAGAGTGAATAATTAGCGCTGATTAAGTTCTGGCGTAGGATTTAATTAGTGTTATCATGTTGCAAGAAAATTAATTATGCTTATAGAATTATAATTAATTGTATCTGATCAAAGTATAAGAGCATAAAAGTATGAAAAGTACAAAAAAAAAATAGAATTTTTCATGCTCACCGATATTTGTGAAAAAGAAACGATGCATGAGGTTCGTTTATCATTAAACGAGCGAGGACAGGCAGTTGACAGGGCACGTGACATCCATTGTCATTGGTGCAATATGCGTTATCTCGTCGGTGAGAGTGGATACCGTTCCGCAGAATAGAATATAGCCGGTGCACGCGCGAAAGGGTGATCGTCGGCGCGAAGTGTTCGAAAAGGCGGGAGTGGATGATCGTCGCTCATGAAAGATCGAAGTGGAAGAGGAGGTAGGTAGGTAGGAAAGGGGCACCAAGCCGTTTAGCGATATTTCACGGGGTTCTCGTCGCTCGTAAGGGTTTCCAGCGGCGCACGGTATTACCGGAGGCAGTCTTGCAGACTCGAGATAAGGGAAGCCCGGTTCTCCGTTTCCGACGGCGAGAAGCGGCGAGAAGCGGCGAGAAACGGCGGCAAGCTAAGGCGTTCGCTCTTCTCCTCAACCTTACACCGCACACGAGAGAGTAGAAGATCCTGGCGGAAGGAAAGCCACGAGCAAACCCCTTCTGGTTGCTACGCAGTATCCTTTGCCCTCCCCCCCCTCTCTCTCTATCCTTCCCCCCCGTGCCGCCATGAACTCGGTTAATATCTGCTTATCCTGTCTTACCATCCGTCTCCTTCGACCGTTTCGCTTCCTACGCGGCTTTCTTCTACTCGTCATGTTAGTTTCAGCGAAGTCTCATAGACTTGCCGACGTCGCTATGCCGCAGTAAATTCATGAACATACACGTTCTCGAAGAAACTATAGTTAGCTATTTGCTTGCGTGCAATAAAGAACTAAACATTCATTAATGAATAAAAAAATCTTATTATGTTGTAACAGAAAGATTATTATTCTGTCTCACAATACTCAAAAGACTCTGACGCTCGAAACACTGTGCTCTCTCGAAATATTCTAGACACTATGCTTTCTCAATGCTGAGAACACATTGTACATTCGTTCTCAATCATTCGTCCTTATATTCTCTATCATACATTCTCAAATTCCAACCCACACATTCTCGTTATTTTTCAAAACTTTAATCGCACACCACACTCGCTTTCATACGCCGCACTCGCTCAAAACAGTCATACAGCACAAAACAATGCATTAAAAGTTTCGACATTCTCTTTCCCGCTCTCTCGCTCATTCTCTCACTCTTGTTCATTCTCTCATTCACTTATACTTTGCAATCCTACATTTATGAACCTTTATTCTCTGTTTATAATAACAGAATTAATAATTTATTTATTTTTTATAGAAAATTGTTTTTTCTTTCTTTCGAGCAGAACGAGAAAACTTGAAATGAGGCGTTCAATAGAAACTCTGTCTCTCGGTTTAGCAATTAGCAGCTGTTTAAGTGCACGTGCGCTCATGCGGTTGGTTAATCTCCGCAACTCTGCGCGGGGACGGCTTCCTTTCGTTTCAATTAGAAAGAAAAATCCCTCGGTCGGTCGGTCGTTACTTACTTATGAAAGAGACACGCACGTGTTCGTCCAATTTCGCTTCGGTACTTTCATTGCTTTTGTATATATTCCAACAGGTGTAACAGTTCATACGAATATGTACGCAGAATATTTCAAAATTGTCAAATAATATTTGAAATGTATGTTTTTTAACGAGTTTAAGTTTTTTTGGTATTTTTGGCAATTTTTCTGATAAAAATATCAAAACGATTATTGGTAATTTTTAGAAAATTTATGACATTAATTCCAACAAAATGAATAAAATATTTGTTATTCAACGTAAATATTATTATTTTTGTTGTAAATTTAGTAAATTGCCAGAAAATATTTCAAAAGTATACTCTGAACTAGTGTATTGTTTGAAATTTCGAAATTTATTCATAAATCAAAGATTCTTTATAATTCTTCGGTAATTTTGTGTATACATAAGCCCTGTATTAAAAAGACATTCACAGTTTGGATATAATATTACGTGCGTATATAACTTACAGTGTAAAATTAATCGATGCAATTTTAATCATAAACCTCGAAGGAATTTTGTTGTCGAGAGAGTTACGAATTTTTTCGGTTCACAATTCGCATGTCACGGATGTGGCGTCCTTGGCGCCTCATCGATATAATTATTAAACGGGACGTTTTCGCGAGGGCTAGCGAGGTAAGCATGACGAGGGAAGCCGACGACGGGTTCGATGAAGTCTCACACCACAGCCGGTGTATCCTCCGGTAATGAACGCAGCCACCTTGAACTGGCAAACGGATGAGCGGCCAGGCAGAGGCAGTCTGTAAGGGCGAATCTGAGAGAGAAAGAGAGGACGGCCCCCGAAGAACGACGCGGAATACGGCAGGTTAGGATGTGAGGGGAGGCGGGGAAGCGGCGGTGGCCACTAAAAGGGGTTGTGTCCTCTCTCTATGTGATGAAAGCACCCTTCCGTGTCCCGCTATATAGAGGCTCTCTCTTCTCGCCGTCGTCGCAGCCGCCTCTGCTTTGGTTCCTTTTCCTATAGATAAAGAGAGAATGTGTATGTTCTCGTTCTCTCTCTTCCTTTTTCCACTCCCCCTCCCCCCCTTTCTCTCTCTCTCTCTCTCTCTCGTTTGCGCAACGTCGTCCCCCTGGCCTTCGCGTGCACCCACACGATTGTGCATTTGCCATGTCGATACGTGTCTGCCAGTTTCCACGTGTGTCTCTCTCTCTGTCTCTCTCGATCATCGTATCCCCCACGTGTGTGCGTGATAAGCCCAGCAGCAGCCATTGACGCCTCGGTGATCTGACGCGATTATACGTCGCGCGCGTTGCTCTCCTCTCGCCGTGTTCCCTCTTTTCTGTCTCCTTTTTTCCCGCTCTCCTCGCTTTTTGTCCCTCACGAGCTTCACGCCTTTTTCGCGGTTTTTCCAGCCGCCACACCGTCGCCGTCGCCGCAGCTGCCGTGATTAGGCTGAATCGCGCGTAAACGATGGCGGCTTTAGAGCCGCGCCCGAAGACAAAAGTGGAAAACGCTACGAGGCGCGCCGGTGGTATTTTCATCGAGTTACGGACTGCGAACAGAGACTAGATTAAGGTAACACCACTGTCGCTGCAGCTTTAGTCCCTGAAAAAGAAATAAAAAATTAGTTTGTTGTTCTCCGCACTGAAATAATAATGAATATATTCGACCGCATTTATAATCTAAATTACAAATGAGCTTGAAAACATTATTTTATCCCTCACGAGCTTCAGCTATTTTAGCCTTGAAATCTTGAAATTGATTTTAGATTATTTATAAACAAGCACAAAGCGAATAAATTATGAAAAATACATGTTACAATTTATCCAAGCTCTTTTTAAATTTGATTATAAATTTTTTATTTATTAGAAGATTATATAATTATAAAATATTAATATTATAATCACTAAATGTATTAAGAATTATAATAATGATACCCGTATCTGAAATACTGCACGATTAAAACGAGATTAGTTGTCACGGCGCATATTGCTGCGACAAAAGCAATGGAAAACATAGTGACACCCAGGATTAGTCTCCATTTAAACTTTCCGAAATTCTCGTGATGCACCAGAATGTATAAAGTAACCGGGATTAATGTAGCCAAAGTAGATATGCATACAGCGCCGACCAAACCGGTGAACAAATCGAGCTTTGGAATCGCCGCTGCTAGAATGCCTGCAAAATACGTGTGTGTGTATATGAGTCTCGCGCTTTAATTTAGAAAATTTTTATTCACAGAGTAATAATGGCATGACACTATATCGATTAGCGTAATTAGAGCAAATTAAAGCGGTAACGCAGCAAGCATCGTCGTTAGTAACTCTGGCGTGTCTGACCGAATAAGACTTCGACAAGATTGAACATCTATATCAAATTCCAGTGGATTCCTGAACTTTAGTAATATCTGGGTCCGAAGCGGACTGTAATCAGATGTGGATTGATCGATTTCGTGAAGTTGGTCGTTTAGGGACAAAAGGGGATTCAATCTGCCGTGGTTTATCGAACTCGGTTGAGTTTACCTTGAAAATACGAGAGAACGGAACGGGCGCGGAAGAGGTTTAAAAAGAAATTGTCGTTTACACGTGATGAAGGTGATGCCAAAACGAATGATCAGATCCCAGAAAAACGGTGTCCCTTTCCAAGCGCCGCGCTCGACTGCTGGTACGGCGTACTGGTCTTTTAGAATCGTAATGGGCATAAAACATTGCAATCCGTACGTGAAGTATATTGATAGCGCTTGCATTACCAATGCTGTAATCGTCGGTCTAAATATTTTCAAACATAAAATGTTTATTAATACATAGAACATTTTGAAAGAACAAAAAGATTTAAATTTACAGCCACAGTTTTTTGATTTATAGTTTTGATAATCAATATTTCAATTTTTTTCAATTTTAATGTAAAATATATATTGGGTTCTGTGGTTAAATATAAATTTTATCAAAATAAAGTTTGCTTAAATTGTACACAAACAGTTATGCAACATAGTATAAATTACATATAACAAAAATTTATCGCGTATTTGCTAATAAAGTTTTTGTAATAAATGAAATTTTATTACGCGTCATGCTCTTCATGATTACGAATAAAATTGCCGAGCGCATCCTGTCCCCATTTTAAATAACCAATAGCTCCAACGAAAATGTGTATTACAACCAAAAATGCCATGCCCCAATTCAATATCCCACAGAATTTAACGTAATTCCAAGGTTTTTTCATGCTATGTTCTATCGCCAATATCTAAAAAATGCAAGCATATTGTATTTAAAGTCACGATTATCTGATTTATTGTTAAAATTAAACTTAATGAATTTATTATAATTGCATAGAGTTGCGACAGATTTTAGTGGCAGAAAACTAAGAAATCAATGTTAATTACTAAAAATGAAAGACTCACCACTCCCGGTGAACACATACTAAAGAAAACCAAGCCAATAAATTTCGGATACATGGCTACGTTCGGTTCGACCATCATCCATGTGTCGCCAATACCGTCTTTTAAAGCATAAACAATTCCAATGATTGCAGCAGAGATAAGCAAAATGTTTCCGACAATAGAAATCGGCGCGATGTCCGAAAGGTTCCTTGCCATGTTCATTATAAAAAGTAGAGGAAATAATATGAGAGCGTAGTAGCTCTGACCGATGACTTTTTCACTATCTATGCATTCTTGAATTACACCGGCAACGAACACGACGTAAACCGAACCTATGCCAATGTAGCATGCTAACATTATGCCATCAACGATGAGTCTGCAAACAAATAAAAATTTAATTTTTTGTTTCTATAGTTTTTCGTATATTTAACATTAATTTTTTACTTAATATATATTAATTTTACTTTTTTATCTACTTATTTTACTTATTACATAAAATATCAAGTTAATGTTGCATATACATTTTGTTATGCCAAAAGCGTGAAATATTCAGCGTGAAATAACGCGATTATTGAAATTACGAACGTTGCAGCGCGCGCAGACAGCCACGGTTTTCGCACATCCGTAGTTAAAGTAGCGACTACCACTTTGTCATATACTAAAGTGGGTTTCTTCAAACGAGTGCACATTAGATGATGGATTCTAACGAGCAACTGAAGAGATCCGGTTATCAGCAATCCCATAAGCGCTGTGCCAATAATTCCGATAAAGAGTCCGACGCAAGCAAACGCGTTCGGCATAGCGAAAAGACCTGTTCCGGCCGCGCTTTTTATCAAATTCGCTAAAGAACCGAAGTCTCTGGAAAGGCGAAAAAGAAGTAAATTATGTTATAATTTCATAGTTTGCTAGCATAAATTACGAATAAAATAATTTAAATAAATACGTAGTTAAAGTAACAAAAATATGAGTAAATAGATGGTTGAAATAGAAAAAAATTAATCAATTATATTATGCGAGCTTTTTCAAAAGTTTGATGTTAGCAAAAATTAGAATTAGATAAATGGCTTTAAAAGACGTACGACACCGGTTTGTAAGTGACACGATGCGAATGGGGATCATAAACTTCATCGTCAGTGGATTCACTCGGTTGTCCTTCTGCCTTTTGTTCACTCCTAAAATTAAAATTAAAGATTAAAATTAAAAATTATTACATTAAAATTAATTTAAGTACACGGAGCAAAATTTTATATCAAAAATTATGTACGGTAAAAACTATGTACGGTAGTAGCTGCGGACCATGAAGGAATTATAAAAATTTTTACCATGTTCTTCACATATAAAACATAGTAAAAATTTTTGGTTTGTGGCTTCATGGCTCGCGGTTAATGCCGTACATAGTAATTTTTGATATAAAATTTTCTCCGTGTATTTGTAACATAATTAACATAGCATGAATTGTGTTGTTAAACATTTTAAATTACGTTTATAGTTTTTGTATTTTTAGCTATAGTTGATTACAAATTTATGTTTACGTTAAATATCTTTACTGCAAATTTATATTTTAAATTTGTTGACGCGCTTGCTTGTCAGAGCTTGTATTTCTAATTATTTTTTTCTAAATTTTCTAACCATATCAACAAAAATTAAGTATTCAACGCCATTAAATTGCACTTAATTTAAATTAATAGCAATCCGATAGCTATTTCAAAACATTCTAAATTTGTCTTGACTGAATAAATGGGCACAATATAAGTCACAATACGCTTTGAAGAAAGTAAATTTCCGAGGATTTACTTACATCTCAATCTGTCAATCCGCGCGAAAGCAGACTGTTTTCTACAAAAACACGATCGCTTTCAATGCATGAATCCGCTTGATTGCGCGTCAATCGTTCCGATCGAATTGCGACGCATTCCAAGGAAAGGGATGCTCCGCATTCGTCGCGATCTTCCTCGAACACGTGGGCTTGTGACGATCGTCGGTTCTCACGGTTGATTACGGCCGATTAGTCGACATTAGCATGGATTTCTCGCACAACCAATTTTCACGGGAGAAGTGCGCGGGAGAACGCGAGCGTAGATAGATGTACCCGGCCGCGGTCGGTGGCAGTATTGTGATCCTCTCGCTCGGCTGGACCGAGCTGACCGACTTAGTGCGCGCGAACGCGAGCTCAGTTACGGTGCTTTTCCCGAGGGATTTAACGCCCCGCGGATCCGTACGGATTGGATAAAGGGGATCATAGGTGACGTCCGTCGTTCGTGAGCTTTAACCGTGAACCTCGCGGTTAAGGCCAACGACAAACCGCTTTCTTTTCTTCACCCCTGTGAAACGAAACTCCTTGTGTCAGCAGCGCTCCGGCAGATCCTCCTTTAGATAGTTTCTTCGTCGATGTCTTCGGGTTGATCTCTCGTGGGGATGTATGTAAGACGGGATTCGTCGGACGAGTTGACGTGCAGATTGTGGGAAGTTTCTGTGCGAGATGCAGCTCAATTAATCCTTGATGCACGTATTTTATCTCACATTTCTTGTAATACGAGATGTATTACGTCAAGAATAATTCTATTTGTTTCCTATTTATAATTCATGACATTATATTTAATGTCTGAAATTTCTGTTGATAAAAATTATACGTTAATAGATCGCCGACACGTTTTGCGAGGGGTGGGGTACGTTACGAAAGGTAAAGACGTAGAAAGCGACGATAATATCGGGGACGTCCCGCGGTTCTCGACTGTGACTAAATCCGCGGTGCCCATGCAGTGTTTACACTCGAGATGATGCCTCCTAATGCTAATACGTCGGCCGGGCGCGACGCGAAACGCGGCGTAGCCCCCGGGTCTCCCGGTTTCTTAATGCTCAATCGCAATCCAATGAAAAGTGTATGAATGGCAAGCGATTATCAAGTCGAGCGGGCGCCCTCAATGTGTCCGTCGAGGCGTCCGCGGTAACCCCGCTGCGTTAACCGACGTCGAAGCCGAGCCAAATGGTACGAATCGCCTCTTCTATCTCCCTCCCGAACCCTCCCAGCCCTTTTTCCTTCTTTCGTCATTCTGATTCTTCTCTCTCTCTTCTTTTTTTTTTTTCATCCGCTCGACAGACCGGTTGGCGGCTCCCGTAAGCTCCCGTGAAACAAATTTGGAAACGCAGCGCAGCACGTGGCTGGATATCGCTGGGCGCATTCGTTGTTATTAATCGAGTCAAAGGGCAACTGCCGTGGTAATTAGCTGCAGTGCGCGTACAATAAACGGCGGCCGCTGTATAATGTTAATAGAGAAAGGGTCGCGGAGAACGACATCAAGAGTGGGCAAGTGCTTTTTATCGCGCATCCCTCGGATATGTAATTTTTTTATATTTAGTACGTATTAAATATAGAAACAATGGAAACCATTATAATAATAGATGTGACAATGCAATATTTCCCAATAATAAAATTACTCAGTTCGAAATATTACAATATAATACTTTGTAGCCATGGAAATCGCGCATCGCGCGCGGACGATATCGCATTATTTCGTTAATTATAATTGTTCGATTATAATTTCATCGGCAGTGGAACGTTGCCGGGGGCAACGGGGATTCCTCCCTTGTATTGGCAATTAGCCGCCAATGGTTTTCCATGGAATATCGATAATCGCGCGTACCACTAACGACTGCGATTTCCAGCGGTAAAAGAGATATCGGCAGAGGAGGAGGCACAATTGGACAGATCTAACGTGTCTGACGCGCTTTTTCCGCATCGCTGCCGACGGCGAGCGCGATGCGCAAAAGCCTTTTTGCCGGCCGAAAATGCGACGTTATTTATCGGGAAATCGTTCGATATGCCGCCGGTACGGAACACACGGCAAAGCGTTTTATGCGGCGGGCAGCTCGCGGGCTCGTTGCGCGTTCGAAAAATCATTCGAGGATCTTGCCGCTGACGTTTTTGCATTTTGCTCAGCCCCGCAGGGGTGACGTGTGTGCATCGGCCGCGAAGAGAGTAACCTGGGCTGCCTGCTGCTGCCTGCCGCAACTGCCGATGCTGTTCCACCGACCGATTTTGTTTGCCGACACGCTCGCGTTCGCGCGCGCTGCGCTTACGTTCGTTGCGCACTGAAGGATCGTTTTTCGGAGTCACTGATTCGCATCGTATTCTGTGCCCAGCCGAGAACCTGAATTCTTCCCGTGGGGGGTGCCTCGAGATTCTGCACGTGCCGCAACGAGATAACACTGTTCGATCGAAAACGCGCCGCTGACCGATGCTGGCAATTCTCTGACAAAATATTCGCGACAGAATAGTTTGATATTATTAACACTTGATATTATTTATTTCAAAATTAGAAGCAATATGTGCATGATAAATAAATAGCTTTCGAATTAAAACGTCAGAAGAAATAGACAAAAGGTCTTTTTTTGTGAATTACTTTCAAATAAGAATTTTTCATATAATAAAAAAATTATGAAAGCTCAAAGTTTAAAAATTATTGAGAACAATTGCTGATATTTTTCGATAATGAAATTATTAGAGCGCAGTATAGACTTGCAAAATATGCCAGAAATTTTATTATTGACTTAATATAAATCGTCAGTTTAAAACATAGAAGTGCTTTGTGATGTAGATATGTTTTTTTTGACAATTTAATTTTTCTTAAGCAAAATTATTAACACGAATTTTTCATTTATCTCTTCGTTTATGTTGACATAAGTTAGAGAGCCTATATTTATCAAAGAATCCTTTTTTTCTTCATTCTTTGCGCTGAATTAGCAGTAAGCAACCTTGTTAGTTCAAATATGATTTCTAAGAATATGCAGAAATAAAATTACCAAAGCAAGATCAGTGCAAAATTTAACGCAGAGAACTAAATAGATCGTGTCAGATGTTTCGGTTGATTTTTCGAGCATAAGCCGTTTTAGAATTGAACCAGTCGGGGACACCCATCGCGCTCATATTCCGGAATAATTTAATGACTACACACTCCGACTCCGGCTTTGCTTGCCTGTCTACCTTGTCGCCGCAGGCCGTGCTGGTTAAACGCTTCACAATTAAACCGCTCAATCCTCGGAATATCGATGAGTATGGGAAAGCTCTAGCGATGATTTTGTCGTCAAACTCTTTAATATGTTTAAAATGAGCCGCGGTGACGATATGCCCATTGCGATCTCATTAGACACGCTCGACTTTTTCGCGTAATAAAGTTCTGCTAATGTGCTGCTGAGCGTTTCGATGATGACGTATACTTTGGTGTCTGGTGCAAAAAATTGTGGAAATATAGAGAAAGAAACGATAAGGCAGTTAAAAGCTCTGATTGTAGTTGAGATAAGGATATTGGAACGAAAAAGTGCCAGGCCTACTAAAAATGATAAAGATACTAATTATGATTCAAATAATTACATATTGTTTCTTAACATATTATCGACTTAGAACAAAATTTTCAGAAAATTGGAATATACGAACTTCTATTTTAAATTTTTTTATACAAATTTTTAAACTAAATGATAGAAGCTAGATCGCGTCATCCTTATACAGATACAAGTTCTTTTTCGCGAAATTGCACTCGAACGCGGTGCGTTTTCACGCGGCGTTGACGCATGTTTTTGGGCACGCGAGGCGTTTTAGGAGAACGCGTGATTTTAAGCGCTGATGTGCACACGCGTGTGGAAAAACGAAAAAAATAGTGAGAAGCGAAAAGGGAACGGAAGTTGGCACTGTGCGCGCAACAGCCCGGGAGGGGCGGGGGCGGTCCATCGGGCGGCGGAACCACAAGAGTGTGAAAATGTTTTGCAATTTCGAAATCAGGCGTGCTTGCTGGTTTGCGCTAAAGCGCGTTACCGGAAACCGCCAACCGGTGGGCTGCGGACGGCACCGGCATCCGCCGCAAAAGCGGATTGCGGTTCTGCCGGGTAACACGCATTAAAAACGCCCGACGCACACGCGCGAGCTCGAATGCATGGTGCACCCTTTCTGGCCGTTTTTTCTCTCTTCATCTCGCAACAGAATAAATCTGTCCGTCTATTGATGTCTCTCTCATCCGCGCTTCTCTCTCTCTTTCTCTTTCTCTCGTTCTGGATACACTGTCGCATCGTTCACCTTTTTCCCTCTTTCGGACTGTTTTACCCACGCACGCGGTCCGGTCGCTCTCGCGTTCGCGCACGATCTACTGGAAAAAAAACAATACGGATTAACGCTCCCGCGTAATCGCATTGTAGAAAACGCTCGGTTTCGCATTAAACTTGGCGAAGGTGTTGTCTGTTGCGCGTTGCAACGTCGCAATGAGAGTTAGTATGCGCATTGATATTTATAATTGCAAGCTGTAATTTTGTGAGGAAGTATCACGCTTTAAAAGCATGAGCAACTTGAGAACTATATTTTATTTTTACATTAAGCATCGATGGAGAATTATCCCTACCATCTTTTTTAGAGATATGTAGTTGGAACTATTGAATACTACTTTATTCAGATTGTATCATAAATAGATTTTAGTAACTGTATTGTTTCTAATATTGTAGAAAGCGAAATATCTTATATTGAATTTGAAATTAACGAACTTCCAACAGCTTTTTCATAGATCATCAAGTCATTATATTTTCAAGAAATTTCCAAAAGTTTTTGTATATAGAATTTATATAAACGTTTTCGAATTTTTCAGCGCTTTGTCGAAAAGATAACAGTTATTAATTAGCGCTTGCTTTATAATATTTATCTCAATTTAATGTCCGATTCAACGTCTTACTTTGTAGTCTCCATGTTTTACTTCGATACAGAACAGGTTTGCAGAGTTGTAATGGCAGGCAAAAATGCGTTTCGTTTAATATCCCGTGCGAGACAAGGGTCGGCGATAAGAATAGCTGAGAGAGCTCTTTTTTCTTCCTGGGCATATATATACGCAGATACTCGCGAAGCGAGCCG